AATCATATAGTACCAGTAAAACAGTAATACAGAACAGTAAAAATCAATATAAACATAATAATTATACATTATAAAGAAGGAGAAAAAACAAAACAAATACAACTTGTTACCAAAATAAAATGCTGAAGCTTATCCTATGTCTTAGCTCACTTATACTTATCTATAGGAAATAGAGAGGGAGAGACAAAGTCAGAAATGGTTGGGGAAGGGAAGGGAATGCATTTAAAAAAAAAACTGGGGGTTTTGCTACATACTCAGCAGTAGTGTAATTTACTACACAATGGGCATATCTACACAAGATCCTTAACTGCACAGTAGCATAGTTTACTGTGCAGTAAGCAAGGGCACCTACATGGGCACATGCTTACTACACAATAAACCTTGCTAATTGTGAGTAAATTTGCTACCTGCAAATGCAAGTAGCAAATTTACTTCTGATTAATAATGGCACAATAACAATTCTGCTCCCAGACAGCCGTCCACCGGGGGGATGAGATTGCTTCCTGCCCCTGGAAGCTGCCTGCTGCCGGGGTGGGCTCTGCCACTAGAGCTTGGGCAGAGATTGTGCCACTAGAGATTGTGATCAGGGAGCAGGGGATGGGAGATCTTTATCTCCCAGTGCCAGCTCCACCACAGCAGGGCCAGTGATAGGAGACCCTTACCTCCCAACACTTGCTCCGCACTCACAGAGCTGAGTGAGGAACAAGCTCCCCAGCCTCTTCTCTGCCCAGCTCCAGAGCTGAGCAGCGAATAGGATCAGCAGCCCCTGCCAGCTCTGCAATTGCAGATCCTTATCTTCCATTCTGAGCTCCACAGTCATGGAGCTTGTGTTAGGAGACTTATCTTCCAGCACCAGCTCTGCGACAGCAGAGCCAATGCTGAGAGATTCTTATCTTCCAGGTTGAGACAAGGATCTCCCATTGCCAGCCCCATGACCATGAGGCTCAAGCTCACTGCAGGATAAGGATCTCCCAACCCCCCACTTCCCGGTCATGATGGTGAAGCGGGGGCTAGAAGATAAGGATCTTCCAGCCCCCGCTCCCCAATCGCCATCTCGGAGCAGGGTGCTTGGAGCGCCCTGCTGTCTCAACCCAGGGTCCAGTCACCTCGTGGAGCTTGGGCTGGGAGCTAAGAATCTCCCAGTGCTGTTGCGGAGCTGGCGTTGGGAGAAAAGGGTCCCCCAGCCCGAGCCCCACAACCATGGAGCTCTGGCTGGAAGATAAGGATCTCCGAGCTCCCTGCTCCTGAATCGTGAAGTGGGTGCTAGGAGATAAGGATCTTCCAGCCCCTGCTTCCCAATCGTGATCTCTGAGAGAGGGACTTGGAGCTCCCTGCTGCCGTGGCAAGGTGACATAGTCAGGGACAGGTCAGGGACAGGTCCCAGCCCCGTGTCCTGATCGGGTGATCAGTGTCCTGGACTGGGAAAGAGTTGCAGGGGTGGGGTAGGTCCCAGCCTCCTGCCCCAATCCATAGTGGGGCTAGTACCCAAGAGGAGCCTAGGGCTCCCCCTGATGGCAACAGGGGCCCACTGCAGAGCTCCCGGAAGCTGGAGCAGACTTCCTGCCATTAGCAGCAAATCTGTTCCTGCTTCCCTACATGTGTGGATGCCTGCCCAGGAGTGTTTACTTGTGAGTAGTTTACTCACAGATCAAATGCATACGTAGACATACCCAGTATGGACTTCCTTTCCTGCCTTAGCACAGGACTCTTTCTGGTTATTTTCATTTTCCCAGTGTGCATGTACATGTGCTGCAGTGCTGAAGCCAGAGGAATTAATCTAGTTTATGCAGGTATCAATCAGATGTTGAATTTGCCCCATCAGTAATAAAAATTTAAAAACCCCTGCACTTATTTTTATCATGTACTATCTAGCTTACTTAATTATATGCAGTCCTGCATATATCACTGGGATTCCAACTAGAGTAAGCACTTTACCAAGTTCACCTGCTGTTCTAACTTGCAATTCAATTTTTCCCCAAAAAACACACCAGAGAAACTGACTTTCTTGTAGCAAGAGAAGGATCAATACTGATGTTGTCAGTGTTGTGTAATGCATTCTTTACACAGGATTCAAGCCATGTTAAAGAAGCAGAGTTTGACCTCCAGTTATGTACTGGATCACTTGCATCAAATCAGCTCATATCCAGCATCCTTGTGAACTGAGAAGTAAATTTTATACTCAAATACACTATTTGCATTCTCACCTTGAAGATCATTTTGAGCCTCTACATAGAACTTGAATTAAGGATTTTGAAACTGACAGCATGTCCTAGATATGAAAATGTTCCGACTCCATAGACAGCCAGGTCAAAACACAAATTCACAGTCGCCCTCCACCCTCCTCCCCAGTTACAGTTAAATATGTATATTCTTTTACATCACCGTCTATGAAGCTGTTCACAGATTTTTAGAAATCTATGTCATATGCAGAGTTAAAATGCTAAGTGCTTATTTGAGTTATGAAATCCTGTAGCTTTTTTTATAGATTCTGGGCTATAAATGCAATATTTTAAACAGACATTATTCAAAGTAATTCACATTACACTACCATGAATGCTGCAAAATCAGGTCTCTCAAAATTTCCTAGCAGATACCTTGCTAGAAAAGAGTTGTGTTAAGCTAGTTTACCTACTCTCAACACTAACCATTGTTTTAATAATATACCATCATGTTCAGTACACTTTTCTCCACATTTGAATAAATTCTCCTAAAAGAGCAAAGTGCAGAAGCACCTTTCTACATACATGTGTGTCCTCTAGTATATTTTATGATTCTTAGGACAAGACTGTTCTTTTTTCTTCCCCAGTGCATAATGGGGCCCCAATTCTGGGGCTCTTCGGAACTATCATAATTTATTTACTTATAATATTTCTAATTCAGTTTTTATTATGTTTACAAGGACACTGTGTTCCTAACCTACACATTGTAGAAATGAAAATGCAATGGACAGACAAGGAATAGGAGGACTAACACATCCAAGTATTTTGTATTTAATATTTCTTTAACATTTTTTCTAGATTTTTTTAAGTTTAAAAGCAAGAGAGAATATTTTGTATTTTACAACTAGGATGCAAGAAGGTTATTAAAATGAATGATGGACCAATGAATTCTGGCTGTGCGTGTAACTGCAGAGTTCAAAAAAGGGAGAAATGAATTCACTCTCTACTCTGGGCCAAACACATCAAACAGCTGGGAAGACTAATGCCATCTGTCAGGAGCTGAAATAAATTAAAAAAGGCAAGGAGATCTCTTCCAAGATCTGCTACTGAGCTATCTCCATTCAATGAAAGCCCAAATGTAATACTAATCATAGTAAATTGCACAGAGGTTCACAACTGGATTTTCATTCCACTGCTGGGCAATTGCGTTTGGCTTCTCCATGATTGAGCCACTCAACAGAAATTATGGAAAGTTTTAAGTTCCAGAAGAATTTTGCATAAGGAATAAAACTGTGTTGTACCAGGGCTTTCCCTTTACTATGTGCTGGTAAGAAATGATAATATAGATAATATATAATCCCTTGGCTTTGTAAATTCTACAGATTAATTAGTTGTCCTTCTCCATGTGCATTCACTAGCACTTATTGTCAAATTATGCCTCCCTCTTCATTGCAGGGAGCTTTTTTAGGAAGACAGTAAGTAGACACTGTCCTCGTCCTGACAGGGATGATGGGACTTAATAGCTTTGAACACAAACTCATATATTCAATTTATAGGGTAGCATTTGTCTGCAAGGTGTTTTAGTCAAGCGATCTGCTTAGCTTCTATCATTGCACTCCTCTCCCTTACCTGGCCGTGTCAGGCGTATTAAGGATATGTAAACATCATGGCAGTCTCTCTCTTGAGGTATGATGAGCTGGATGATCTGGAAGTTCTTGCAGCGAATCAGCAAAGGGCAGCCAGTAGCAGTTGTCGCCTGTTTTTCAATAGAGGAAATTTGGCTGTGAAGAATCTGAAAACAAATAAAAAATTGTTATGGCAAACAATAATGATTTGGAGTAAGGAGAAATAACCCTTAACCTAAAATGATGTTCCACGGACAAAATTATAGCATTCTGGGATGTTTCAGGAACTCTTCCTAACCTACTTCTTATAGTTTTCTTTTCCTTTAAACACTTCCCGCTTTATGTGAAAAAGATAATAACATATCTCGTGTCCTAATACAGGAGCACACCTTTCCTCACACTTTTGATATTCAAAGGCTAACTTACAAAAGCTAAGTCATTGCATTTTTAAATGTAAATCAGTGTGTCAAAGTAAGACAGCTCTTTTGATCCATCTTTGCAATGAGAAGAACCAGTCACGTAACATAGAGCCTCCAGGACAAAAATTTGCACCTCCTCTTTCATAAGGTAATTGCACTAAGACCTCAAATATTTAACTCATGATACAGAACAACAAAATGGAGGATGGAGGTACTGAAGGAAAGAGAAGGCAAGATTAAAAGTACAAAAAAAGACAACAGAACTAGTAACCAAACTAAATAGAAACACTTAGATGATATAGTGATGGAGATACCTTTGTACCCTGATACAGAATAGTTATATTAGACATTCAATAACATTAAATAAAAAAGGGATACTAAATTCTGCATGTGCAGAAAATAACTGATAGAGTTCAGACAGAAAGTAGCTAAGACAAGGGTTGTTTAACCCCATGAATAAATTCAAACAATTCAAAGCAGCTCAGCATTTCTGTCCTGTTGCCTTGGTCTTTCCCACAAGATGTAAGCAATGCTGCAGCTTACAATGGTGATCCCACAGTAGAATACTGTAGTATTTTTTCGTATGCCCTTATACTTCTAATAACTATTCCAAATCATCTGGAAGACTCAAATTTACTAAGGCTCAAGTTTATTAACGGAAACAATATTCCATTATAAACTTTCTCGTCAGCAGTTCTCACTAGTCAACTTTAAATTATTTTATAAACATTATTAATGTAGCGCTCTGCGTTTATTTATTATATAATCTATCCTTTAAAGTACTATGAGAAAATATTTCTTCTACAAGTTTACAAAAAATTAGTTCTAGTACGTGACCATACCCAGGTTTCTTTCCGAGTTTCAGAAACATTTTCCACAAAGATAACATGGGTAGCTGTTAAATATAAGGTTCCCAATGCAGCTTTCCTAGAAGATATACGATCAGTGAAACGGACATTTTCCACCTAAACAGAGAAATGAGAAAAGAACACAGACAAGATTTAGATTAAGACCTGAAATCAGATTCTATAGGCAAAAAGATTGGCACCCGTTAAGATTGGCACCTCCTAGCCATGGGCTGTCTCTCAGCCCTGTACGCTGTGCTGCTCCAGCCTGCATTTAAGGTAGGGGCAGGAAGTGGAAGCTGGAGGAGGAAGTGGGAGGCCACTGACAGCAGCTGC